TGGGAGAAAAACAGGTCTAACTTTACTGATTCCTATCAAGGTATAAGTGATTAATGCTTCCATCAGAGCTGTGAGCTACTGACCAATATCTACTAGCTGAAGTAAATGGGTTAAAGAGTAGAATTTCAAGGTATAGGAGTTAATCCACAAATCATATATCAAAAGCTTTATCAAAAGCTGTGCAATGTTAACAAGACATGGATTAAATTTGTAACTCAAAATTCAAGTAACAAACTTCTTTTAATTAAAAGTATATTTTTCTGCCATTTGTAAAACTCTAAGTCATAGAACCAGGAGTCAGGTTAACAACTACAAATTTTTTAGGCTAATCATTCAAAATTGTCTGGCCAATTGAAACAATATGAATTGTGTTTCTGCAGGAATTAATGAATGCTAAAGAACACTCCATTCTACTCCCAACTCTGAGCTACCAGAGGAAAAAAAATTAACTAAATGAGAGCCACAAAGAAAGTTCTGAAGTAAAACTTTCCTTATGGCTAGGCATGGCAACTCATGCCTATAATCTCAGCTACTCCAGAGGAAGAGGTTGGGATGATCACAATTTGAGGTAGCCTGGGCCAAAAGTTCCCAAGGACCGCCCTAGCCCCCCATCTCAACAAACAATACAGGCATGGTAATTCATGCCTGTCATGCCAGCTACACAGGAGGCATAGGTCTGAGGACCATGATCTGACAATGGCTTAAGCAAATGTATGAGATCCTATCTGAAAAATAATTATAGCAAAAAGGTCTGCCTGAAAGCCTGTTCCAGTGGTAAAGCACTTGCCTAGCAAGCATTGAGTTCAAACCTCAGTACAAGAAAAGAAAAAAAAAAACAACAAAAAAAAACTCTCCTTCCATAGAAAATGGCTCCCCAGAGAGGGAATATACCTTGTTCTTATGTTTGAAAACTGGACTGGCATAGGAAATCAAGGTGATGAAGTTGGAAATATTTTTATGTTCACGTCATCTAATGTTCACATTTAGAAGGAATTTGAACTACTCTATCTGGATATTTTTTATTATTTTATATATTTTAAAGCAATATAAAATTTCTCAAAGTCTAAGGTTGGAAAGGAAAGTAAGAATAAAGAAAGGAATAAAATATTAAGAGTCTGCACTTTAGAGCTGGGAGCACAGCTCAAGTGAGGCCCTGGGTTCAATCCCCAGGATCACAAAAATAAAAAGGACTTTACTTTTCATGTGTTAATAGCATACATGCCACGCTGAAAACTTAGATCCTGTATCATACTTTTTTCTTTTAGACTTTAAGAAATATTACTTAAACATGTGACTTGCTCGGTATTTAATGCAAGTTTTCATTCTTAGACGATGAAAACAAGGCTAAATATTAACATTCATGTGAGTCACAAATAGTCTTACTCCATTTTACAACTTCTCTATACTTAGCCATTGGATTCCGAAGTAAAAATAAATTACCTCTGACTTTCTGTTAAGAAAAAGAAAGATTCTTGGCTGGAGGCATAGCTCCAGTGGCTTAGTACTTGCCTAGCATGCAGAATGCCCTGGGTTCAATCCTTAGTACAGAGGAAAAAAAAGATTTAGGTTCTAGAGCCAACCCTTGCATTCCCACCTCCAGTCCTGGGACCTCAGCCTCCTTGTCAGTAAACGGAGAAAGAGCAGTTCATGAGGTGGTGGCAAGGAAGAAATGAGGTAACCCATATGCAGTACCTAGCACAATCCCAGTACCCAGAAAGTGCCCGATCAGCATTCACAACAATTAAATATGCCTTCTCTCAAAAATATTATGCTTTCCAAAAATTAGGCAAAAATTTAGTAATTTAGCAAACTACTCCCTTTTCAACCCTAGAAAATTTTGTATTGCTCCCTTTCTCCACATGGTGGCGTGAATGTAGCACTATCACGCAGCGGCATTGCCAAAGGTATGCAAAATTATTCTCTCCGGCTACTCTGGATGTCCATCTGTAAATGACCACTTAATGGTCACTTGGTGTGCAGACAATTTAATGTCAATGTAATTTTAATGTTAATTTAATTTTAATGTGCTTTAAAAAAATTAATCACAAATTTTAAAATTAAAAAAATTGAACAAAATGATAGCCTCAACTCAACAAGAGGTGCAGTATGATTTGTTTTTCACCCAGCTATCCATAGCTTGCTCATGCCATAGGTCAGACTCTACAACCAACTGGTATTTCCTCTATTATACACTCCCATAAACTAGACGCTCCTAAATCCCAGTTAGAGGACGCAAGGAATGAAAGAAAGTATGTTTGATGATTTTTGTCAAATGGTTCTGGATATTTCTTTAGTGAGAAGTGACTATTTTTCATAGTCTGCTGAATCCTTACTGAACATTTACAGGAAATACAAACATTTACAGCTGGGGTGTTGACTGTTTTGAGTCTGGGAAATTGTGGCACATGAAATCTAGACCCTCTCCTGAGATGTAATGAGCTTCAAAAATCAGTCTTGCATATGTGCTTGTGGCTTATTTGTGTGCTTTTAAAACATACCCAGCTAAAGGCACATGCCTCTAATGCCAGCACTCAGTAGGCTGAAGCAGGAGGATTGCAAATTCAAGACCAGCATGGGCTGCACAGCAAGACTCTGACACCCTATCCCACCCCACTCCTGTCCCCAAGGGCCAAACAGCCCATAGCACTACACTTCACACTTTCAAAATCCTACAGGAATTCTGATTGCAACCGCTTCCTCTCTTCTCCGAGGATGCAACCGCTTCCTCTCTTCTCCGAGGATTCCAGTTACTCTTCTCTGCTAATCTCTTCTCCTTTTGAACTCAATTCAAAAACTACAGATTGAGCTTCTCTTGGTGAGATATCCCATGCCCATGAGCGGGACACACGTAAGGACGTCCCCACATTCCTCAGACTCCCAGTGTGACAGAAGGCAGTGCCAGGCTCTCTGACACCAGGGCAAGCCATGGGTCCTGAGACCCAGAATGGAGGGAACAAGCAAATGGCTGAAGAAACCCAGAGAGGGAAGAAGTCCACTGTGACTTTTTCCAATACTTGAGGAAACACTTGCCTGACTAAATCACTCCTCTAAGCACCCTGCTGTTGCATTTGCTGACACACTTATCAAAAGCTTGTGCTAAGGGCTGGTAGAATGGCTCAAGTAGTAGAGTGCCTGATAGCAAGTGTGAAGCCCTGAGTTCAAATCCTAGTACTGTCAAAAAATAACTAACTAAAAAACAGACCAAAAAAATTAAATGTCTTCTCAAAAGCCTGGGCTGGGTTCACGGTTTGCATTGCTTCATCACTGACTTCCTCCTCAGCCCTTGCAACACAGCTCCCCACTTCAGCTCTTGGGCCTTCTTGTGGCATTTGATTCTCTGTTCCCCTCCCACCACACTACTTGAGTGCCTCTCAAGGGGGTGAGGGCTCTCAGAACCACCCAGGGCTCTGAGGTCAGCCTCCACCTCAGAATCTCTGAGTCAGTACTTCTTAACCATTGTACAGGAAAATCAAGTGGAAAGCAGTTCAAAAGCACCTGGAGTGTGCCAGCTAGGCTGAGCAACATTTCATTTCCCAGAATCTCCTTTCTAATCATCCTTTCTAGTAAGGATGAACCACAAAAGAGATTTGGGAGGGATATGGAGAGCAGAAGTAAAGTATCTGCTGGCTCATTTTGTTGGCTTAAGCCAGCAACCAAACCTGCACCTGCTCCATCTCCCTGGAGTCTCCTTCGGCATCTCAGACTCCTCAGCCAGGTATGTGTGTGTCATTCGCTCTGTGACACAGAGCCCTGGTTTCTACAGGACACCCACACTATCAAGGTCAGATGCAACAACTGACATGAGTTTTGTATATTATGGGTCCCAAGTGGTTCTCTCTTTTTGTTTGTTTTGGTTTGGTTTTGGATTTTGATTTTTGAGACAGGGTCTCACTATATACTCCAGGCTGACCTTGGACTCATGATCCTCCTGTCTCAGTCCCGAGTGCTAGGATACCACCACACACAACTGGTTCTCACTCTTTATATCCATCCCCATTTTACATCCATCTTCCCTTTCTGACTGCCTGTGCTATGAACTTCAGCCTTCAGCTTTGACACAAAGACAACTTATAGGAACTTTTTAACCAGCTCCCACGATTGCATAAGTCACACAAGAGATGTCTTCATACACAGTCATTGAATTGAAACTGCCAGCTCAACTATGTGAGAAGCACAGAGTGACAGGCCACTCTTGGTTGTCTGCTAAAAGCTCCCCAGGTGTTTCTAAGGTGGTCCAACACAATCTACCCTTGGGAAAAACCTCCATATTCAGTGAGTCAGAATTGAGAAAGGTTTAAAATCCTCTTCCTCCCTGACCTATGTCTTTTCTGATTTACCCCCTCCTTTTCCTTTTCTATTAATCCGGCCCCTCCCCACCTCACAGACCACTGCAGTCTCCCTGTCTCTAGTCTTTCCTCCTCTGATCACTCCAGCCACAGCTCCTGAACAGATCTGAAAAAGCTAGCAAGACCCCATCTCAACAAAATACAGTAGGGCACATCTATAATCTAGCTACATGCAAGGCCATAGATAAGAGAATTGTATCCAAAGCCAGACCTAGTCAAAAACTTGAGACCCTATCCTATCTAAAAAATAAAAGGGGGGAGCTGGGAGTGTGACACTTGGGTGGTAAAATGCCTGTCAAGCAAGTGTAAAGCCCTGAGGTTGAAATCCAGTACTGCTAAAAAAATTGTTTCTCCTTCTGAACATAAAAGGATTTTCTTATCCTAGAGGTCTCCTGTTTGCATCTCAGAAAGACTTGGTAAAAACGGCACTCAAAGCTGTCACTTTGCAAAAACCAAAAGAGAGAAGATGAGAGCAAGATGCTGAAGGGACACACACCGAGTCTTCCCTGTGATGTAAGATTAATATGAGAAGTAGTCATTTGACACCTCCCAAGGCCCTCAGCTGAGCTTTGGCCTTTGATTTTTCCCTTTTGTGACTGTTCATTCATGTGTAAATGTCTGCATTGAAAATGTTTTCTCCACAAAAATACTCACCCATATTTCTCTGCAAGTCCTCTGGCTTCCTCTTCTTTTACTACTCTCTGGTCTTCCAGATCACTCTTATTCCCGCATAACACTATGTCTGGGTTTTCACAATATGCGTGCATTTGTAGCTGACCTGTTAATGTAAGAAAGGTTATTATAGGTAAGCAATAATACAAGCGCAGGAGCAACAGGGAATGCATGTGAAAGTGTTTTTGAAAACTATACCCATATGCACAGGTGTAAGGAACTACAATAATGCTTTCTACACATCAATTAGCCAAACTGAACTGACACATCACTGTGTCAAACTGAATGGATGGGGTAGAAATATAAAAGTCCTCCTGTCCTCCTTAACACATACTCCAGGATATTTATATGAAAGACTTAAGGGACAATGTGTTAACCCTCAAGAGTGTGTCCATGCACACCACAAAAACACCTGTCTTTTTCACGAAGTCCACTTCAAAAGGATTTTTGAAGAATTTCCTGGTCTTTTTTGCTAATCTTAAACTCTGTTTTTAATTGTTTCAAGAAAAAAAAAAAAACCCTTGTTCTTTTAAATACCCTTTACATTCGCTCCTTCGAACAACTCACAACAGAAATAGACACAAGAGGGTCTCTACTTGTCCGGATCTTCCTTTCTGAGACAATCTGCTTTCAGTCTATTGAAAGTGTATTCCTTTCCTAATAAACTTTAATATCACTTTCACTATTAAAGAAAAAGAGGGTAGTCTATTCCAGGGAGAGGGAGCAAAAGGCAGGGAAACAGTAAGTAACACTTACTTATCCAGTTTCGGACATTGAGGAAACTTTGCTCATTTGTGATATCAAAAAGCAGAAGAAAACCCATGGCATCCCTGAAGAATGCTGTTGTCAAACTACGAAACCTAGGAACACAAAAACAGATTAGTCACCTAAACATGGCCCTGCTCCTGAAAGAGAAAGCTGCCCGCAACGCCCTCTGCCTCTGACAAAGTTCAACAGTAGCAAAACCCATGATGCCATTCCTAAAACCGTACAGGACAGGGATCAGCACTGACACAGTTTACAAGCTAATAGACATGTGATCTGAAGACCCAGCCTGCTCCTCAGGATGAGGACTAGCTCGTGACCTCTTAGCCTCAGCCAAGAATTTATTGTACAATTACAAGTTCATGGGACTGCTGTGTATGCTGCCCTCTGTGTGGTCTTGATACATGACAACGTGTTCCTAGATCTTTCAATTTGAGTCTCACTCAAGACCTGTGAAAAGAAAATGCAAGAACTCACCGACTCCATCAATTTGAGTCGCTATAGAAATCTCTTATCTTTGATAACCCTTTCTTTGGCTCTAAGGAGGGAAGGGTATTAACTCAGATCCTACTCCCTCTCGGCATTCTGCCTTCCAAGGCATTCTATCTGTCTGTCAGTCTTTCTCTCTCTTTCTCTCTCTCTCTCTTCTTTCCTCTACAGTCACTTTTCCTCTCACTTTACCTATATGCAAAGTCTGTAACTAACAGGGAAGTTCCAGGGAAGAAAATATTAGTATAAATTTGTCAGCTAATCATAATATTTTAATCAATGTTTCTATAAAAACAGTCCTTATCTTTAAGAGGTACACATGAAAATAATTGCAAATGAAATGACATGATATCTAGCATTTGCTTCCAAATAATATGGGAGGAAGGAAAGGAAATGCACTAAGGAGCATAAGTGACTGCCACAACTTGATAATGGTTGAAAGTGAATAATAGAGAATGAGCCCATTGTACTATGCTCTCTACTTCTGTATAGACTTGAAATTTTCCCTAACAAAAATTCAGGAAGCAAATCTAATCCTTCAAGGAGACAGTGAGAGAAAACAGAAGCTGAAGCTCACAAAAAAATCAACCTTCCATTGGGATATCATATGGCTTATCTTACTCAGGCAACCTCTCACCATAGGAATTCACCCAACCAGACTTTCCACTAGATTGCAGCAGTCAAGGAAGAATAGTATAGGCGTATTTGCATCTTTCTTATATTTGAATAAATAGCAAAAAGTCAATTTTAAAAGTGTACAGATCTAAAACAAAGCAGAAAAAGAATGAAAGTCCAAAGTAAGAAGGTCCAATTTGAGAAGGATTCATTCTTTTCCTTTGACCTTGAATGAAATAAAGCCACCATTATCATCTCAGACTGATAAATTCATTGCTAATTTGACAGTATATCTTATCCAGGAACAAATCAAGCAGTTGGCTGGCTTTCCTGCTCAGGTCACTGTGTGACAAGTGTAATAGCTGTCTTACCTCTCCTGCCCCGCAGTGTCCCATAACTGCAGGTGGATCCTCTGGCCCCTGCCAGTGGCTCCATCTGGCCCATTGGCTCTGTAGACCTAAAGCATCAGAGAAAAGAGAAATCAGAACAGAACCTCTGCGCTCTTCTTGTCTTTCTATTCAGAACAAATCCCCAAACATCTAAGCTTCTCAAGAGAATCCCACCTGAAATTCAAGCACATTTGTGTTTTATGTTAAATAACTGTATTTGGATAACACAATAATTTGTATTAAAATGTGTATGTTTTATAAATATATCATAAAATATGTCAATAATACAACAGTTTATATAAAAAGCAAGCAGCTTGCCTTTTCTCAAATTTCTTAAGATCACTACTTTCAAGAAATATTTCCACTGGCGGGATGGCTCAAGCAGTAGAGCACCGGCCTAGCAAGCGTGAGGCCCTGAGTTCAAACTCTAATACCACCAAAACAAATTAAAGCAAATTTAAAAACATAAGAAAAATAAAAAGAAATATTCCCTATCTATCACTTTCCGCCATCCTTTCAACAGTGGTCTTAAACAGTTTTATAGAAAGAACTTCCGGAATGGTGGGGAAAGGACCTCCACAATCTTCCACCAAAAAAATATTGACCACAAAATGTCAAAATCAATTTTCACAGAACCCTAGAAATTAACAGACTCACAACATTTCAAAAAGAGCATTTATTCAAGAAAAACTGGTCTTGCATCTGTAAAAATTAGAATGCTTTGTGATGTTTTTAACTTGCCCTATTCCCGTTTCCTCACCCCCGATCTATAGTGGCCTTAAACACCAATAAATGCACAGCCAGCAGCCACTGAAGACAATACAGGCAAACAGGTTCCGAGCATCCTAGAAGACCCATCGTCATAGCATTGTCAGGCGGCTCCCAGAGGAGCTCCATCTGAGGCGATGTCTTCCCTGGACCCTTCCTCAGAGCATGCTCTATAAGAACAGCTTATCCCTACGGCATTTGTTAAAAAGAGTCCCCAGCGATTACCTAACATCACAGTGCCAGGGCTAGTACACCAGTTGGGGCTAAGAAAGGTATAACCAAGGAGTAAAAAAAAAGGAAAGGAGGTCTCACAAAGAGATTTTTGTGTTGTCGGTGGTGGTGGTGGTTTTTTGAGATGGGGTCTTGCTGTATTTCCCAGGCTGGCCTTGAGTTCTTGATCCTCCTGCCTCAGCCTCCTGAGTGCTGGGATTAGAAGTATGCAATACCACACCAGTTCATGCAGAGATAGTTAAAGTTTCCAAATATTCCTCGGAACCTATGAGGCCATTCACGTGCAGGCTCTACATATGCCCAGGAAAGACTTTAAAAGCCCCTAATCTTTTTTTTCTAATATGGCATTACTGTTGTACTAGGGGTACATTTGTCACATTTACAAAAGCTCTTACAATATATCTTAGTTAAATTCGCTCCCTCCATCATTCTCCTTTATCCCCCCTCTCCCCATTCCTGGAATAGTTTCAACAAGTCTCATTTTTCATAATTTTCATATTATGTACATGAGTACATAATATTTCTACTATATCTACCTCCTACATCCCACTGGTATCAATCCCCAGACCGGAACTATTTTGCCTTCCTGTTCTCCTTTTTTTGAAAAAAGACATTTTTGTTTGTCTAAGATAGCTATACAGGGAGTTTCCTTATGACATTTCCATGTATATATGCATTATAACCCAAATTGATTCGTCTCCTCTATTTTTCTCCTTTCTATCTTAGTCCCCCTTCTTATGGTGATTCCAACAGGTTTAAAAATTACACATTCATTTTTGAATCGAAAGTACATCACCCATATTCACCTTCTTAACTTCCTTTTTTTTAACCCTGTAAACTCTCTTAGTGTGACCTGTTTTTCATAATATTGCTTATATTTGTATTGGGCCTATATTCCACGTATGAGAGAAGAAAAAGCCCTAATCTTTCATCTCTGACTGACCTTGAAGCTATTCTCAAGCAGGAAGTAAAAGCTAAGACAGAGAATTAATAAACAGCAAAAATGAGAAACCCAAAGGGTGGGGCCTGGTTTCTAGAGTCACCTCATTGCATTATTTTAAATGTCCTGTTTCTAACACTTAAAGGCAAACAAAGAAATGGGAAACTATGGCTCATACATGGGAGAAAAACAACCAAAATAAACTGTTCTTGAGGAAACCCAGATGTCTAAGACAAAGATTTTAAATCAGTTATTCAAAATACATTCAGGGCTGGGCATAGTGGCTCAAACCTGTAATCCCAACTACTTGGGAAGAAGAGATAGGAAGATTAGGCTTGTCAACCAGCCCAGGAAAAAGTCACCAAGACCCCAGCCTCAGGTATGGAGGCACACATCTGTAATGCCAGCTACTCAGGAGGCAGAGGTAGCATGATCAAAGTCTGAGACTAGCTTAGGGCAAAAGCAGAAAATTCTGTAGGAAAATAACTAAAGCAAAAAGGGGAGGGGTTTGCGGTAGCCAGCATGAGGCCCTGAGTTCAAATGCCAGCGCTGCAAAATAAATAAATAAGACATAGGTAAGCAAATGTTCAAAGAAAAAGGAAGCCATGCCTAAAGGATGGAAAACAAAGTTTAAGAACAACAGCTTGCTAAATACAGAATATCAATAAAGAGATAGACGTGAAAAGAGAAGTGCAGGAAGTTCTGGAGTTGAAAGTTCACCAGAGAGGGGCTCAAGGGCAGATCTGAACGACAGAAAACGTAAGCAGTGAATCTGAAGACAGAACAACAGAGATGGTCAGTCCATCTCCTCACTGGTTACAGGCCTGTTGAGATTTTCTATTTCCTCTTGAGTCATTTTTAGTCATTTCTGTCTAGGACTTTCTCTTTCTTCTACATTACCTAATTTGTTAACACACAATTGTTTACAGTATTTCTTCATAATCTTTTCTCCCCTTTGGCTTTTAGGCAGGTGTTCTACCACTTCAGCCACAACCCCAGCACTATTTTTGTTGTTGGTTTTTGTTTTGGGGGGTTTTCTTCTTTTTCTTTTTTTTTGGTGGTACTGAAATTTGAACTCAGGGTCTCATGTTTGCTGTGCAGGTGCTCTTACTGCTTGAGCCATTCTGCCAACCCCTGCTTTTGCTCTTTTGGTTATTTTTCTGGTAGGGTCTTCTATTTTGCCTCGCTGCCCAAATAGTTGGAATTACAAGACTGAGTGACCACACCTGACCCTCTTCATAACCTTTTTAAGGTCAGTAGGGTTGTCCTGTCTTCCATCTCTAATTTTAGGAATTTAGCTGACCTTTTCAGGGAAAAGATTGCTTGTCTATTTGTTTACACCTAACCTTTATTACTTGCTTCCTTCTGCGTGCTTTGGGTTTAGTTTACCCCCTATGCTCTGGTTTCTTGAGGTGGAAGGTCGAGTTGTTGATGCTAGAGCTTCTTCTTCTCACTATGTCGCCCACTTGTCCTCAAACTCTCAATCCTCCTGCTTCAGCCTCTGGAGTGCAGAGATTTCAGAGATTACAGGTGGCTCAGGCCTGGATTGGGATCTTCTTTACTAATACAGGTGTGTTAGGCTCTAAGCATCCCCGAGTCTTGCTTTCGTTTTGATTCCTTTCCTATTTATGATTGACATTTATAGGCTTGTATTTGTAATGCAGAACATGGACTCATTATACATGCTATGTATTCATATGGATAAGGATGGCTATTATGGGATAGAAAGTAACAAGCACAGGTGAGAATGTGGAGAGACTGGAACCCCCATCCATTGCTGGTGAAAATGAAAGTGGTGAGGCATCTGTGAAAACACATGAACATTCCTCAAAAAGTAAACACAGAGTCATCATATAGCCGAGCAACTTCACTCTTCAGCATATATTCAAGAGAACATTAAGAACTGAATGTTGATGTTATTGAAAGCAGTATTAAGGGTAGCTAAGAAGGAACAATGGAAATGTCCACTAAGAGATGAGTGGGTAAACAGTATGGCCTATCAACACAATGGAGGATTATTCGGCCATAAAAAAAATGAGGTCCTGATACACGTTACCTGGATGAACCTTGGAAACACTGAGCCAGGTGTAAGAAGCCAGACACAAAAGGTCATATATTCCATGATTACGTTCATATCGTATGTTTAGAATAGGCAAATCTAATGACAGTAGGTTCACAGTGGCTGCAGGGAGGAGAAATGTGGAATGACTGCTAATAGGTATAGAGTTTCTTTTTATGGTGATAAAAATATTCTAAAATTAAACAGTTGTGATGGCTACACAACTCTGAATATGCTTTAAAAATTCCCACTGAGTTATACACTTTTTACATTTATTGTGAGTTATATATCATTAAATCTATTTTAAACAAAAAGCAAAGTTATGAACTAAGAATTAATTAGCAAAAATGATTGCTTACACATACGGTCATTCCTCAGTATCATTTTTTTTTCTTTTTTGTAGTACTGGGCTTCAACTCAAATACTACACCTTGAGCTACTCCACCAGTCCTTTTTTGTGATTTTTTTTTTTTGAGATAGGGTCTCTCAGACTACTTACCTGGGCTGGCTTTGAAACACCACCCTCCTGATCTCTACCTCCTGAGTAGCTAGGATTACAAGTGTGAGCCATCAGCACCTGGCATTCCTCAGTATCCTGGGGATTGGTTCCAGGACCCCACGGACACCAAAGTCCACAAATGCTCACGTGTACTACATGAAGTGGCACAGGATTTTCAAGTACCTGCACACATACTCCTATACTCCAAGTCACCTCTAGAGCCCTTCAAGTGCCCAGTACAGTGTAAATGCTGTGAAAAATAGTTGCTAGACTGTTATTTAGAGAATAATAACAAGAAAACCAGCTGGGGACATAGCTCAATTGTTAGAGTACTTCCCTAGCATGCACAAGGCCCTGGGTTCGATCCCCAGCACAGAAGACAAAAAAATAAAAAACAAAAAAAAGAGAAAGAACAGGTACAATCATTGAAGGCCTGACTACACAGTCAATCACAGCTCAGTCTGTAGTTGGCTGAATCTAGTTGCAGACCCACAGATGGAGGGCCAACTGTGTAAATATTCTACCAATTATCTGTCAATAAAAATTTCATAAGGACCACTTTCTTACTCAGTGAATCTAAGTCTCTAGAAGACACTCTGGTTGCTGGGCATGGTGGTACTCCCCATAATCCCAGCTCTGGGGAGGCAGAGGAAGGAGGAACTTGAGTTCAAGGCCAGCCTGGGTTACATAGTGAAACCCTGTCTTAGAAAAAATTTAAAAATTTATGGTAGAAGAAAAGACCTAGGAAATGAACTCTGCCGTCTTCAAGCCAGGCCCGGTGCTCCCCTGGCAGGACACTCCCCATGGAAGGGCCTTTGTCATTAGCCACCTGACCGCTTGACCTGCTTCATGGTAACATTTTTCAGCAAGAAACAGTCCGTGAAGAAGGCCATCTTCCTCCTCTGCACTGTGACACAGTGACCTGCCTTCCCCTCTTACTCTTACTCTAGAATAACTTTCAGTCCTCTGGTCCTCTAAAAAAAAAACAAAAAACCAACAGACACAACAGCCTCTCTCCTTGTGATCCTGCAGAACATTACACCATCCCAGCATTCTATATTCCTACTCCAACTTCACCCTCCTGGCAGCACAGCAGTCATGAATTCCACCACGCATGTTCTGTGTGGAACTGCTGAGACTTCAAATAAGAGAAGTGCCATAAAAAAATGATAAGATACCAAAGGAGGAAGATACAGCCCTTGAAACAAAAGCAGGCGGGGCACAGTAGTTGACAGGCTTTATGACAAAGGCAGAACGATAACTAGAATTCAAAAGGGAAGATACAAGCCAAAAGGGAAGCAGGAGGAATTTTAATAGAACTGTTGACTTTAATTTGTCTGCTTGGTTTATAGGAAGTATCTTCCAGGACAGCCTTTTCAACCACACAGCACAATTGAACATGACACTCCTTTGTATGTACCCTTTAATTTCAGATCCCAACCTTTGTCCCCTAATTCCTACAAAGTAAACTGAACAGACAGGCAAATGTTGACTTGGAGATTATATTTTTGTTTTAGAAGAACATAGAACTTACCACTCTCTTTTCCCTGAAATCAATGCCCACGGTGGTGATAAATTTGGAATTAAATTTACCATCTGTATACTGGTAGAGCACACTGGTCTTCCCTACTCCAGAATCTCCCAAAGCTAAGAACTTGATGAGGTAATCATAATCTCCATCAGACATAATGAATTCTGTGATTCACCTGCAAAATACAGATAAACACATGTCTATTAAGGTCCATTAGAAAATATGAGTGTAATCCATTAAGGAAGCGATTACTTAATATCCAGCTCAATGAGTACCTCTACGTAACACCTGTGTATGTGTAGAAGTCCCATGAAGAGAGGGTTACATAGTGTTCATTGTCCCTGAGGAACTAATAATCTGCTAGGTGAGATGCTACAGAGGTAGTAAATTACTAACCTTTTAGTTTTAATTTAATGGGCATATTAGTATTAAGATAGAACTTCCATGTGAGAATGATAACCAATAAGAAGGTAGAAGTTATTGGACTGGGGTTGTAACTCAGTGGTAGAGCATTTGCCTAGCAAGTTCAAGGTCCTGGGTTAGGTCCCCACCTCTGGAAACACACACACACACTAGTCATCACTGCTATCCTCAGACTATACAGAATAAAAACTAACAAAAGAACAAAAGGAGGAAGGAGAAGTTACAATAGTAATTCTTAGTCTGCAATGGTTCCAATTTCTGTCCCTTCCCTTTTTTCAAAGTCACCTAATGGTAGATTACCAGCTTTTCTGTCTGTCTTAGACATCGAAGCAATTTCATTTATCCTATCTGCTTTCATGTTACTAGAGTTCCTTCAAAGACACTGCTAATTCACAAGTAAAGTTTGGCTTGTGTCTTCCTACCATTATCATCATTACTGTATACTATTTATTAAATCAGACTTCTCTGGAATATCACTGGGAACTAGCTTCCAGATTTTAGCAATTAGTGCTTAAAGACCATAGTTTCCAGCTAAGGGGTCACTTACCCCCTCCCCAACCTCAGTATTGTACCAAGACTGCTAAAAATTCATCTCTTCAATATCAACTAAAACAAAAGTTCACTTTAAAGAAGACAAATTCATTTCACCCCCAACCACGGTTATGTTTGGTCCTTTGCAATCATCATTTTTCATCATTTGTTATCTTCTAAATAGATGTAAACCCCAAACACTAGTCCAACTAGAATTGTAGTCTCTCTCCAAGGAAGCCCTGTTTACTTTTGTCCTTCATTTTAAATGCCAATAAACTCTCCTGAAAATCAGAAACTAACCAGCTAACAATCCTACCGCCCATTCAAATGTCTATATCACCTGTCCAGATCCACTGTCCTATCTACTCAGTCCCATTGCCAGAAACTTTCCACAATGCTCAGTGCTTCCTGTAGGATTATTTCTGTAGATGCATAAAATTAATAAAAACTTCAGAAGAGACACTTATTTATTTTCCAGGTTGCTTCCCCACCTGGTCTCAACCTAGTGACTCACCTTGAACTCAAAAATTGAGAATGCTTGAGACCCAAGAGCTATGCAATGCCCTTCCTCAGAGAGAGAGCCTTCCTGCAGGTCTGAGACCTCACATTCCAGATATGACTGACCAGTTGATAAGGGCAGAGCCTCTACAAACATTCATAGCTCTATTTGCACACCATAAAGGGTGACACTTTGCAGAGGATGGCTTTGTATGATAATTGCTTCTGTATGCAGGTGTTGGTCCCCAGTATTGCTGACAAGCAACAGAGTTCCCTCCAAAAGATGACCACACAAATACAAGCACAAATACATCATATCATACCATTTCAGTTGGCTCCAAGTTATTCAGAAATATGAGATAAGGTGCCAGGTGTTGGTGGCTCACACCTGTAATCCTAGCTACTCAAGAGGCAGAGATCAGGAGGATGAAGGTTTGAAGCCAGCCCGGGCAAATAGTTCTCAAGACCCTATCTTGAAAAACCCATCAATAAAATGGGCTGGTGGAGTGGCTTGAGGTGTAGGCCCTGAGTTCAAACCCCAGTACTGCAAAAAAATAAAATAAAATAAGTAACAGCTAAGGATTGAAAGCAGGGATAGGTAAAAATTCAATCATTTGAGAATGGGAGGTCCTCTCCAACTGAGGTAGAAAGCAGCTCCAATAAAGATGAAAGAAGACACCGTGGCTACCTTTTCTTTTTTATTAGCATACATTCCTTGTATACGGGGGCTCATTGTGATATACAGATGCATATGATGCACTTTGAACAAGATCCTTCTCCCATTATACTCCTCTGAAAAAAGAGGAGGGAGGAGGGACGGGGCCAAACAGTATTTACTGGGTTTCAGTGCCTCTTTTCTTTTCATTTGGAAAAAGTTTGCCATTTCTGGACCTGTTTTATAAAAACATGTTATCATTTAAGGTACAGGAGAAAATGCTGTCCCCAATGGCATGAATCTTTTAGAACTCTCTATCACTTGAGTAGAACTCATATACTTAGAGAACACTATCTCTGCATTACCAATGACAACGCATGGTGAAGAATCACATAGGTAAATCTACAAACCATCGTTCAAGGTTTGTTTTCTATTTCTGACAGTGGTACTAGCCAAGGCATAGTAAAAGATATAGTAACAAATCAAATACCACCAGGTTTAGCTATTGCCATCAGTTTTAATCATAGCTTGCACTTTTCAGAATGGATCTTTATGGCAATTATCTGTTTTCTTCATCTAAAAATAAGTATTCAGACCTTTCACTCCCTGAGTTTGGTTTTCTAAAGAACAAAGCAGAACCCAGAGATGTGAACTGATGTGCACAGTCTCAAACCTAGCACTACTAATTCTAAGTCCCATGCCTATACTAACCAAAGTTTCATGTTCTTTTCTTTCTGTTGTTGTTCTTGTTGTTGTTGATTTTTTACAAATGCATTATCAGGCTTAAAAGGAACCATTGGTGTGACATCTTAGAAGTCATGGAGTCAAGCAGAGCTGTCTTTGAATCCCAAGTTTCCTATCTACCAACTACTTGGACATCTCTGAGCTCAGAGTTCCAGGTTTCAAGTCTACGAAAGGAAGATGTTACACTCTACCTCACACCATGGGTCTGAAGATTAATGAGATTCTGTTTGTGGAATACCCAACATAATACTTAGCACATACTTGCTACTCAGTGATGTCAGCTAACTAACTCCCTTCTCCCTATTCTGGTTTTTAAAACCTAGAATGATTTCTGAAATTAGGCCTGGTCAGCTCAAAACACATTGATTGCTGCTTCAGCTGAGCATTGGCAGCTCACATCTGTAATCTTAGTTTCTTGGGATTGGGAGGATCACAGTTCAAGGGCAGTTGAAGCAAAAAGTTCACATGACCCCCATCTCAACCATTTTCTGGGTGTGGTAGTGTGAGCCTGTCATCCAAAGCTGTGTGGGAGGCTGAGATGTGAGATTCAGAGAATCTCAATTTCAAGCCAGCTCAGGCAAGAAAACATTTCAAGACTTCATCTCAATGGAAAAAAAGCTGGATATGTCATCTCAGTTGAAGTGGAAGTCTAAAATAGGAGAATCATGGTCCAGACTAAAGGCAAGACTCTATCTCCAAAATGACCAGAGCAAAAAGGGCTGTAAGTGTGACTCAAGTGATAACGTTCCTACCTTGCTAGCTCAAAGTCCTGAGTTCAAACCCATGAAAACTCAAACTACAAAAAAAAAGATTTTTGATTGGCACAGAGTAGTTTTCCGAGTCAGCAAAGATCATTCTCAAACTAATTCTGATCTTTTTTTTTTTTTTTGACTGATTCTAACCATTTGCAATCTGATCATCTTAAAAACAAATTTAAAATACTCCCATCCATTTTAGCAGGCTCATATTTGTAAAAAAAAAAAAAAAATTACTGGTTCATATTAAAAGAGCTAAGTTAAAAGAAGCTCTATCTACAAAACAATTTCTGACCAATCTAAAAATCCCTTTGCCTAAACCAGATATATCTAACCAAAATTATTTGAGTCTCACTTTAAAAATGGTTTCAGACAGCTCAACAAGATTCTGACCTGCACAAGCAAGGTCTAACTAGCTCAAACACATTTTGATTGGTTGAGGGTCTGTTTTATTGAATCTACTTCTGACTAGGTCACACTTGCTCCTCTTATTTTATCAAACTTCTGGTAACTAGTTCAAGTCAGAGTACAATCTGATTCAAAACAGTGTGAAATGACTGTTCCAATCGAATTTCAAATGTTCAAACAGTTCAAAACTAGGCATGTAAAATAACCATCAGAAGTACCAAAGACAACAATTCAGTGCTTTAAATTTGTTGCAAAGCCAACAAACTTATAATTTTACTTATAAATTTCCTTCTCTGTAGACACTGTGTACCCAAAAATGTATCCCCATCAGAATATAGTTTACTTATACATTTAAACAGCAACTACACATTACACTACAATAAGTAGATTGGGGAAAGGAGAATTGGCTGAGGAGAGTATGATAACAAAGAGGAATCAAACAAGTGACACAGGTTCCAAGGTTGAGATCACCTCTCACTTCACCTCAAGGACCTGATGGCAAAACAGTAACCCACCATCCAAAAATAAAAGGGAGACTTCAGTTGCAGGACACCTTTAACAAACATGGATGGAGTGTAGAGTAGGCCCAAAGTTGGTCACAGTGGCCAAGCTGATCTTGTTTAACACAGACCAGAATTCTAACAAATAAAGAAACTTAAAGGAAATTCATGGATTCAGGGCCTGATAGGTTTTCAAAAGTGAGAAAAAAAAAGATTATTTTTTTCAAGGTTTGGACACAGTGTTGATGGTAACAGGCTCCTTATCTGAATTCAATTCATCAAACCCTGGAGTTAATGGAATTGTCCCATCTCTAGCAGGGTGAATTCTAGTCCATAGCAGACTATACTCAACCCCATTCTACAGTTCCCATGTGGTTATCTCACCACTACTCACACCACCACAGGTGAGGACAACTTAATCTTAAGTCTCAATAAACAGTAGGGTTTTATATTTAAAAAATCACTTTGCTTTCTTATTTATTCCTCAAAACCTAGGTGGTGTTCCTGGGGCCTGTTTTCCAGAAAGAAAATACTTCACTCCTTAAATGTGGACACCTGGAGATTCCAAGATGGCGACTAGAGGGATGAAGCAGAAAGCATGCCTCCTAAAGTAAAATCTTGGAGAGATGCTGGAGATACACCTTGCAGGAAAAACCACCCA